TCTAATAATGTTAGTACAGCACAAGAAAAAAAATATTTACGGTATGTTTACAATCAATACATACATAATTTACCAATTAAAAAAAAAATCAAGCCGAATAAGATGGGGGCTTTATTAAGAAAATTCTTCCAGTCTTTGAATTAAAGACTGCCAAATGGCCTCAATTTGTTGTATGTTCACACTGCTTTTTAAGGCAGTGAGTTTAATGAAATCTTTGGTTTTGTCAGTCCACCTAGCTAAGGTTAAACATGAAGAATGGTTGCTTGAGAACTAAAATAGACATGGGGAAAAGTGGATCCCTATAAGTCTAGAAATTGTAAATATCATGCACAGCTGCAATTCGGCTTAGGGATGTGTGTTAAAGGAAAGGCGTATTTAAGCTGCAAGTACCGGGGTCCCACAGGAACAGCATTTGGGTGGGGGCATTTCAGGCTGCAGCAGGAGGGAGGAGGCAAGAAATCTGCACAGTCCTTCAGTCTGCAGAACCACTTCAGTGCATCCAAGCCACTGCCAGGACGTACCTTTTCCCTCGCCACAGCCCCACAAGTCTTGATACTGCAGATAAAATCAAAGGAGCAGATAGCCAAGGACATATCGCTAACTACATCACTCTACTCTAAGACTGTCTGCCAAGGAGGGGTCATTTCCTACAGGAGCGCACAGGAGCGGAGCTCCGGCAGTAAAGAGCTCAGGGGGCGGGCACATGCAACAAGCCCCGCCCCCTGCTCCCACGAGGAGCACAAGGATCTGCGCACACATACCCCATAGCTAGCAATCCAAAACAGTCCAGTGGAGCCTGAGCAGTGGGTGTTGCTTTCTGACACACTTCCAGTGATACCAGGGGGTGCGGCATATGCAAATAAGTAATGCTAATGAGTTATGCTAATGAACCCCTGCACCTCTTTTTCTGCAAAATGTCCCCTGCTGCCAAGGATACTGTCTGGTCTTCAAAATGACAGGCCACATGGAAGGTTAAAAGAGCTTTGGTAAAAAGCAGTAGGCCCCATTCAGAAAAGTGCCTCAAGCACTCACTTTGATCTTTGGGTAACAATTGTGACATAGATCTATGTGATTTCTGTTACCTGAATGGGCTTCTGAGTAATTGGGTTCATAACTTCTCTTACAGCAATTCTCATGCCCAGAGCAAAATTGGCCACCCTTTCAGCATGACTCGGAGCAGGCACCGGCACCCCTCCTACAACCATGTAGGCATCACCTATTGTCTCCACCTGTAAAGCAAGGGGAGGCATATTGTAGGCATGGAAAGACCTAATCCTGCAAGATGAATCATCCATTTGTAGATACACTGGCTTATTTTACACCCAGTGGGCTGCACCCAAAGGTGTTCTTCTACTGGTGTACTGGCACTTACACTAGAAGAGTGGCACTTCCTTTAGTGGAGAGGGAAGGTTGACTTTTACTGATTCCTTCCTCTTACTTTAAAGGTAAAAGTAAAGGTCTCCCTTGCTCGAAATTCAGTCAAATCCGACTCTAGGGGGTGGTGCTCGTCTCCGTTTCCAAGCCAAAGAGCCAGCGCTGTCCAAAGACTTCTCTGTGGTCATATGGCAGGCATGACTAAATGCCGAGGCGCACGGAACGCTGTTACCTTCCCACCGAAGCGGTACCTATTTATCTACCTGCAATTTCTTGCTTTTGAACTGCTAGGTTGGCAGGAGCTGGGGCCAGAGACGGGAGCTCACTCTGTCACATGGTAGTAGGGCCTCGAACCGCCAAACTACCAACCTTCCAGTCTGCAACTCAGCATCTTAACCTCTGAGCCACCGCAGCCCTTCCTCTTACTTTGCAAACCCCCAATTTGCTCCCTCCACATTGTCTGTGAAGGTCTCCTGACCCTCAGAAGCAAAATTCTAGAGGGAGTCAGAGGACCACAGCTGGAGAGAAGAGTGTAAGGTTCCACAGCCAAACAATTGAGTACACGCTGATCATAAAGTTATACTTTATTGTAAGAGCTATAGAGGCAGTAACATCTTCACTGTTAGGAATGGCTATGTTCCTACAAGCATAATGGGATATAGGGTATTCGTATGCACCCCCCCCCCAATCCCTGGGCCAATCGGCCTGACTCCCGCGCGCAGGAGAATGGGGCCCCAGGCCGTTAAAGCCAAAGCGGGGAATCGAAACTAGTCCCACGGGTAATTGATGGGAAGACACTACACTACACAAGGTCAGAGATAATAAGGAACGAAGGAATGCAGCAGCAGCTGGTACACAGGTCAAGCAAAGGCACTCCTGCCCATAAACATCATGGCAGCATAGCTGACAAAGAGGTAGGAAAGTAGTACTTTGCTCTACTCCCAGTACTTTGGATCCAACCCAATACACATGGCTGATGTATGAAACAAGGAACATAACAGAGACGGTAACTGACTCAGGCTATACCACCTGGCAATGTGGGCATGCCTCCTTCCCTCTGTTCTGTTTTTTGTCCAGAGAGATCCAGTAGCCTATGTGTCCTGTATTTCATCTAGGAGGAGGAGGAGGAGATTGGATTTATACCCTGCCCTTCACTACCCAAGGGAGTCTCAGAGTGGCTTACAATCTCCTTTCCCTTCCCCTCCCCACAACAGACACCCTGTGAGGTAGGTGGGGCTGAGAGAGCTCTGACAAACTGCTCTTTTTCAAGAACAGCTGTGCCAGAACCAGTGTTCCCTCTAAGCTGTGGAGTCTTGTGAGCAAAAATTCTACTTTGTGAGCTACTGGCATTAAAGTTGTGAGCAAGTGATTTGGTTACTGCATCAATGAGTTTGCTCTGCAGCCCTCCTTCCTGAGCTGAGTAAAAAATGTGTGAACTGCTCAGTTTAGAGGGAACACTGGCCAGAACTATGACTTGCCCAAGGTCATCCAGCAGGTGCAAGTGGAGGAGTGGGGAATTAAACCTGGTTAGAGTCTGTGCACTTAACCACTACACTAAACTGACTCTACAAACCACTACACCTAGTGACCAGGGGCTACTAAGTGAGAACACCAGTGGTCACCCACTAGTGGTCACCCTCAGGGCAGGCTTATCAATTAACATGTGGTGTGTGGGTCAATTTGATTGGGAACAGCCTACTTGACAAACTATGGAGGGAAAGGTCCTTACAGGAATATGTGGGGAGGGGACAGACAAAGTGTGGGAATTGTGGATAGGGAACCAACAGGACATTTAGTGAAGTTAGTGATTTGGGTGTACTGTTGACAAGCCAGTGTTTATAGCAAGCTGTCTTCTGTTTTGATTTCCCCCCCTAGCTATCGAAACTAATTCTTTAGACAAGCATGACTCGATACAATTGGCTGTAAGCCGGATGTGTGAGGGAAAACCGAAGTGATGCAAATGTTCATGACACTGAGAGCACTTACTTTGTAGACGCTGTGGACACTGGTAAGCCGATCAAACTTGGAATACATTGAGTTAAGCATTTTGACTATCTGAATTGGTTCACAGACTGAACAGATATTTGTGAAGGTCACCACATCACTGAAAAGGATTGTGCAGGAACTGAAATCCCCTAGGGAACAAATCAAAGGAGAACTGTTAACATTTTAAAAATAACTTTAAAAAAGTAAGTATAACGTATCTGTCTTTCCATCACTTCCCTGTCAATCACACATCTTTCAGTCCAGGAAAGGAAAGCAGAAAACCTTTGTATAGCCACAGTAGGACACATTCAGGTGGAATTCTTCTTCATTCCTTAAAACCCAGTCACTCACATTCATTCTGAGGAGGAGGGATATAATCCTGTGGCAGAATGGGCCTACTCAAGCCTGGAGGCCCTGTTCCACCCTGCCCTCCAAGGTTTTCCCAACACCTGGAGAGGCTTTTCTTTCTGTCTTGGGTAACCCGCCACCACCACCTGACCTTTGTAAGGAATTACCCACTGGCTTTCCCTTAAGTCTCTCTGCTTTTGCAGCTGTGAAGTCGTTTCCCTGTTCAGGGACCCTGGGATTGCAAAGGACTTCATGCCTCATCAACAGCTTCCCCTCAGGTGTCTTTAGGGAAAACCTGAGTTTATTTCCACTTATCTGAAAGCAACCACAGGGACTGCTCTAGTGCATATCTCAAACACCCCATCCCGCCCTAATAATCAGATTCAGCATGAGTGAAAAGTTCTTTCTGCCAATGCTCAATGCTAAAACCACAATTCAAGGAAACAAACAGCTGCATAACCCCTTGGAACAACCAAGGATTCTGTGTGATTCTCACAACTCATTCCCCTTGCTCTCGCTCTCTCCAATCTGGTCCACAACAATGGTGCTCATGCCCCTGCCTTTGATGTTCAGCTCAACAGCACTTGAAGCCCATTCCCACTTCATTTATGTGTTGGTGCAGCAGTGCTCAGAATCTGCCTTCCTGCCACCCATTTAACTAAGGAAACCTGGACGCAGGCGTATAGCCAGAAAAGTTTCGGGGGGGGGGGCACGTGGGGGGGCATGCAAAGTGACATGATGGGAGGAGGGGAGCGCCATACTCGCCACAGCAGACAGGAGGGGAGCACCAGGCAGCGCTGGCTTGTTTGGGTGCTTCTCTTCTTTTTGACTGGAGAGACTCAATTCTGGGCAGGGCTCTTTTTGTAGAAAAAGCCCAGCAGGAACTTATTAGCATAATAGGTCACACCCAACAGTATAAAGTCATTCGCATATTAGGCCACACCCCTGACAGCACAGCTTATCAGCACATTAGGCCGCACCCCCATGTTACCAGAAGTGTGGTTATCCAGCCACACCCACCTTTTGCTTCTTGTTCTGTTTACCTTGTTTGTTGTCAAAACCCAGGGCTTTTTTT